TCGTTTGAACTTTCTCTAAAGACAACCAAGAAAGTTTTTAGCATACAGGAATGCCAATGCAAAACAGTGAAGTTCAAAAAAATAGAGGCGTTAATGACAGTAAATAGCTGTATCCTGTCTGCCTTCACTTTAAGATCTATCTGTAAGGGTAGAAAATTGTAAAACAAATGCTTATGCTCATTACCATCATTAAATGTTCATAGACTGCTTATTGTTTAACTTAGAATTTATTGGAGGTTATGTAAAAAATATGACATCACTACTGATTTTGAAGAGTTTACAGGTGATTTGAGAGACATAAGAAAAATTAATAATTAAACTCTAGGGGCCAGGAGGTGGCATAGTGGTTAAGGAGCTGGACTCTCATGTGGCTGAGGCTCAAGTCCCGAACTCCACAGCTTGAAACCACCAGGCATGTGTGCATGTGTGCCCAAAGTCCCAAGAGAAGAATGGATGAAAAGGTATTGCAGTCTGGCCATCCCCTTGGGGGAATTTCTTACTTTCTGTCTCTGGCTTTCTCTGTTTCTCCAGCAAGTTCACACCCTATAGCAAAAATCACTCAAAAAAAAGAAAAAAAAGAATTAAATTCTGCCTCATGAGGTAGTTATTATGGGCCCGTTAGGTGTTTAAAAACCAAAGGTGAGGGAACCAGCAGTTAGCGTAATGGCTATGTCGCTGGACTCCCACGTAGTCGACTGCGGTTCGCGTCCCGGACCTGGAGGCTTAAAACTCATGCTGGGCGCGTGTGCGTGCGTGCCCAAGATCTCGAGAGGAGAATGGAGGAGAAGGGATTGCAGCGTGACCATCCCCCCTGGGGGGTGATTTCTCGCTTTCTGTCTCTCTGTCTCTGTCTGTCTGGTGAGTGCACGCGCCCTATAGCGAAAACCTCTCAAAAAAAAAAAAATTAAGTAAAACCAAAGATGAAAGAAATACATTCAAATGACTTTGTCAAAATATGTGTTTCTAAATAAGCAGTAAAGTGAATTTCAAATGTGCATGTATGATACGCTATAACAATAAATGTTAGAGATGGTTAACTCTGGTAATTTCCTTTATTTGATTATTATACATAGTATACACACTTTGTAAAATCATATTGTACCTGAAAAATATGTACAACTATTATATGTAAATCAGAAATTATGATAAAAGTATTATTTTTTTGGGGGGGGAGAGGTTTTCGCTATAGGGCGCGTACGCTCACCAGACAGAGAGAGACATAGAGACAGAAAGCAAGAAATCACCCCCCAGGGGGGATGGTCACGCTGCAATCCCTTCTCCTCCATTCTTCTCTCAGGATCTTGGGCACGCATGCACACGTGCCCGGCGTGAGTTTTAAGCCACCGGGTCCGGGATGCGAACTGCGGTCAACTACGTGGGAGTCCAGCAACATAGCCATTACACTAACTGCTGGTTCCCAAAAGTATTATTTTTTTTTAAAATAAGCCTTCCTAGGGAAGACGCGACTTTGAATAAGTCTTGAAGAAAGTGAGAGATTTTAAAAACAGAAGACAGTGTTAGATTGGTAATCTAGAACCCTTTTGGATCTTTGATATTATTGTTGCTTCAAAAAAAAAGCAGATAGATCGAGGATTTCAATAGTTTAAAATACGGTCATTGAGAAATGCAATAATGTGGTTAACCAGATGGTGGAGAGCCACAGGGTGGTGTTGGCAGTGACTATAAAGAAAGTGGTTTGTAATCTGGAAGCCATTAAAAATGTATTGTGACAGATTCTCTACTCTTTGATTTCTAGTCCTGGAATTTCTACTTTTTTTTTTTTTAAGAGAGATTTTTGCTCTAGGGTGTATGTGCTTGCTGGAGGCACAGAGAGATAAAGTGAGAAATCACCCTCCAGGAGGCATGGCCACACAGCAATTCCTTCTCCTCCATTCTCCTCTCAGGATTTTGAGTACAAATGCATTCATGAACAGCATGAGTTTCAAGCCCTGGGTCTGGGACTCACTACGGTCAGCCATGAAGGAAACCAGTGGCTTCACCACTACACCACCAGCTGGCCTCAGATTTTCTGCTTCTTAAGTCTTTCTCTGACCTTACTTTCCCTAACTGAAAAATGGGGAAGAGAATTTCTCTTATCTGCCTCAAAGAACCAACACGAGGCTCCAGAAATAATGAGCATGAAAGTGTTTTGGACGCATCGCACCATTCAAACAGTTACAACACACCACATTACTCTGTAATATAATGAAAATTAGATTGCTTTTGAAAGCAATCAATCTTTCAGGCTATCAGGACGCCAACGTCATCTCTCAGATGTTTTATTACAATCAGGAACAAAAATAGCACAGAGCCTTTCTCTAGCACATGGACACGGCCCAGAATAGGCAAATGGCTTCTCTCAAAGCTGGCAATAAAGAAGCAGTAACTCTTAAAATATTCTGCCTCCAGTGGTTCCTGTGCTGTTGCTCCCAACCCAAGGCATCGTTGGATCACCCACATTCCTACCTGTCTTTGCACATAGCCAACATCAGAGATGCCCAGACAGGAGCCAGATGTGGGCGGAGGGCCAGAAAGATTTCAAGAGAAGCCAGGTTATGTTACACACTGCTTCCTGATTAGGTTAGGCAACTCCATGGTCACTTCTACTGGGAACTTTCAATTAACCTTACTTACAACTAGAGAACTATTGTTTTCCCTTTATATTCTATAAACAGCCCATGGTAGGCTGATTCAAAGTGCATCCAGGTAAGGAGTGTTGTCAGGCAGGCCTGGCAATCTGGTGATCCTTCTCTGATCTTACCATTTGGTGCCTAAAATCAATTCATAGCTTCACTTACATCTAAAATACTTATTTGGAACTACCCTACCTTACACACACACACACACTTTAAAATTCAAGCCATATCAAGCTATGTTATTAAGCTTATTTTTCATAAAGTCTTATTATACTGTGTCTTTTTTTCTTGTGGTTAAGTGGAATTTAATTGCTCAAGACCCTTAGTCATGCTCTTGAAGTTTTGTCTTTGCCACTTCAGTGAGGCTTATCTTTTGTCTTTAGACACATTCTAATCTCTAAAAAGTCAATATAGGAACTCTGTAGGCTGTTTTCTAGAGCTTACCACTCCCCAGAAGGATGAAGGGTTATGGGAGCTGAGTCAGGTATGATGCTCATGGTATCAGGAAGCAGTGCAGGACAGAGAACTTCCCACTTTGCATCTGACAAATTGACGTGCACACCTCCCAGCCATTCTCAGCCAGAGAATTTCTTAAAGTTCCTTCCAGGATAGAAGTTCTAAAGACCCATGACCCCTATTTCTTGCTCACCAATGGAGGTGATATATTTTGGAAAAAAACAAACAAACAAAAAACAAAACAAACAAACAAACAAAAAAGGAAAATGGGAGAGGACGTTAATAAAATTCCCCCAGGGTGACAGGGAACAAGTAGAGTTTCGTCCCATCACTGGTTCTGGGCTGCCGTCACGTTCACCGATTATCTTTCTTGGTCTACTATGGACACAAGTGTCTTGAGAATGATTCAGAAGAAGATCTAATTAGATTTCCAGGCAAGAAAACCTAAGTGTCATTCCAGTATCACAGACAAGCCTACCATAGAGTTAGATACCTGGAAGATCTGGCCATTAAAACCCTAGTGTTGTAACTAGGGTTACATCCACAGATGAGAGGGGAAAGAGAGAGATGAAGAAGTCAAATTTTTAGAGGTTTTTGCCTTAGGGTGCATGTGCTTGCCAGAGAGAGAGAGAGAGAGAGTGAGAGGGAAAATGAGAATCATTTCCCAGGTGGGATTGGCCACACCATAATCCCTTTACTTTCATTCTCCTCCTGGGATCTTGGGCATGTACTCATACCTTTCTGGTGTGATTTTCAAGCCACCAGGTCTGAGACTCAAAAACAGTCAGCCATGTGGGAGTCCAACGACTTAATCACTATGCCATCTGCTGGCCCAGAGAAAGTCCATTTTGACTGGTAGCTCTGAGCTCACTGAGGGCTAGAGCAGGCCTGCAGAAATGGTCTTCCTCACCACTAATTATGAAGCTGGATGGTTCTAGACGTGTGTGTGCATATGTGCGTGCACACACCACCTCTCCTCCAAATGAAGTTTGGGGGGGGGAGTCAGAGTGAGTGCTGTCTTGCTGGCAAACTGATTCAAACACACCCCCCCACCCCAATCACCACCACCAAATTTGCTGCTGAGCCGTTTGAACTCTTAGGGCAGCTCCCCCAAGAGGTGCCTGTAACACACCTGGCTGAGAAAGGGAAGCCAGAGCAGGTGCCTGACCCCTGGACCTGTGCACTCACTCTAACCCGCCTCCCCTCCAGCAAAGAATAAACCTCTTCTAGTTCCGCAGGGCACTGACCTCCCAAAAGCAAGCTGTCATCTTCCAGAGCATTTACTGGGTGATTTTTGAAGATTTTTGTTTGTTCCACCACAGTGACACGTGCATGACTTCGATGACTTTGGAGCCTCTTCCTGCCACTGACTTCGAATGGGACTGGAGGCACTTTCATCACATTTTCTTGACTTCTAAAGTTGGCTGAGGGCCGGGGAACCGTAAAGTAATTCGAGGAACCCAGAATGAGCTGCTTGCACGGTGAGGAAGGACTTTCAGTTTAGCACAGTTTTTAATCACAAATTACAGTGAAGGAAAAGAAGAAAAGGTAAAGGACCTTCAAAGCTTTAGTAAAACTTGCTACTTCGTTCCACTTTTCCTCTCCAGATAGAGGACACCTCCCAAAGAGCCCAGTCCCGCAGAAGCTGGCCTTGCCTAGCACGGGCGGGTCCAGCGCAGGAGGTCCCCTGCAGAATAGCTTCCCCACTGCGGGGCGGGACTACACAGTCCTCTGCGAATGGCTGCGGGCAGCTCCTTCCCAGCTCCCACTGTCCAGCCTCCTTCGCCAACCTCCCACCCCACCAGCACCCACCCTCCGTCCAGGGAATTTCCCGTGCATCCCAAAGCTTTGAGTTTCCTGGCGGGGGGAGGGAGGACGGGAGAGGCATGAGTGCATATAAAGCAGTGCGGGGAGCTTCGGGAAACCTCAGTGCTCTGAAGCCTCTATCTCCGCACCTCCTGCTACCTCGCAAATTCCCGTCAGCTAGCCGCGTTTTCTGCCGCTATGAGTCTCAAGTTCAGTCACTCTGCCGGCCTCTCCCGCCTTTTGGGCTCTCTGTGCGCGCTGCTGGCTCTGATGCTGCTCACGTCGCCGGGACCCCTCGTCAGCGGTGAGAGCGCACTGCACGCGGAGCGCACTGCAAGCGGAGCGCACTGAGCCGGGGAGCCCCGAGTAGAGCCGCGCGCTCAGCCTCCCTCCGCGCGGCGGCTGAGACCAGGGGCGTGGGGAAGGCCCGCCCAGTAACCTGCCCATAACGGTGTCTTTTTTTCTTCCCCAGCTGCTCCTCCCGCTGCTGCCGTGGTGAGAGAGCTGCGTTGCATTTGTTTAAGCGTCACGCCAGGAATTCACCCTAAAATGATCACGAATCTGCAGGTGATCGCTGCAGGACCTCAGTGCTCCAAGGTGGAAGTGATGTAAGTCCTCTTGCTCTGCTGAGTCCGCTGAGACCATGACAAGGGACGGGTCCTCCAGGCTGGGTCTGCAGCCCCTGCGACTCATGGGTTGCATCCTCTTATTCTCTCTCAGAGCAACCCTGAAAAACGGGAACGAAGTCTGCCTGGATCCACAAGCCCCTTTATTCAAGAAGGTTATCCAGAAAATTTTGGAAAGGTACTGGTCACTTTGATCTTTGGGGTTCCTTAATCACTTCTCGCGTGAGCATAGACCGTGTTAGAATCCTTATTCTCTCTGTAGAATTTGGGTACCACATTTCACAACAGCTTAAAATAGGAAGGCTGTTTAAAAGAAGGGAAAATTGTTTTGGACTGTCCTGGAAAGGCTTATCACCAAACTTACCTACCTTTGCCTGAGCAGTTACACAAAGCTCATGACGGAGACGCATTTATTTATTTATTTATTTATTTATTTATTTATTTATTTATTTATTCATTCATTCATTCATTCATTCATTCATTCATTTATTTATTTATTGGTGTACCCTTTGTGTTTATTGATCTTTCTGTTTGTTTTCGCCAAACACTGAGTGCTGGGTTGTGAAAACAGCGTGGCCTATACAGGAGCGTGGACATTTAGATAACCGATACAATTCTTTTCTCAACAGTGGAAACAAGAAAAACTGATGAAAAGAAAGCCCCATGCATTGGAAAAAACTGCCCAGTCTTCAGCAGCGCCGTTTTCCAGGGCTGAGTGGACTCTGTGAAGATGAGAAGGAAGGGTTCATTTCTCTCTGGTCACCAGTTTTCTTCGTACATTCTGTGCTTTGAAGAGGGTGGGAGTGTCTGTGTTGGTCCTTAAACCTTTCTTCTCAGCTTATGAAGTATTTAGCCTAGCATTGCCTGCCTCTTGCTATCATTTAATCTGTTAGGTTATTGGAATCTTCAGCATTTGACTAAATTGTGAGCCAAGAATCACTGCTGGTTCATCTGAATTGAAAGTGACTATTGTATTTCTAGAATATATTCCTTATAGTGTTACTGAAAAGGCAGTGGCTTTAATATGAAAGTGATGTTTCTTTAGAATGCTGTGGGAGGGAGATAAACTGTTATCTTCACTCTTCTTGTGAAATAGGAAATATTTTAGTATTATTGAGGAGGGATATATTAGAGAACTTTCTTATTTTTGATGCTGGGGTGGTATTTAAGTTGTATCCTGTTATAAAGCAATACATACAATGCCTCATGCAATTATCTAAGTAGAATATATTTCCTTATTTAGGATTTTTAAAATATTTTAAGTTCTAGGAGGACTAATATATTCTCTTCCTATCATTTTAGACATTTGATGTCTTCTTCGTATGGCATAGTGTCATGACTTACTCATTAAACTTTGATTTTATATGCTATTTATTAACTATTTTATTAGAAGTGATATAGCAATGGCCACTAAATATATATTTTGAGTAGATGAAGAAGCTAAGAAGTAGATAAAGCCCTGATTTCCAGTTTTTATAGAAATGCGTCGTGTAGTGTTTTTTTTAAAAGCAAACTTAATAATTGTACTATGCAAGTTTTGAAAGCATATTCAAACTATTTGAACATAAATTCATTATTTAGTTATCAAAAATATATGGCATTGTAAAGATTTGTATATGCCTATGGTGTGCACCTTTTAAAGGCTTTGATGGTTGTATTATGTGGAATTATGTATGCATCTCATTCACTATATTAAAATTGTGCTTTTTAATCCATGTGGCTTTTATTTATAGTACTTATTTTGTTCTTTGGAAAAAATAAAGATTTCAAAACTTCATTAATGTTCTTTCTTACATGGATATAGTATATTTTATCTTTAATTCTACATTATTTTAAATTTTAACTCTGCTCGTTCTGGCTAGCAGAGAGGCCTTGCTTCCCACTGCCGTTGTATTGGTTCGACCTTTCTCCAAGCTCACCCCTCTTCCAGTTACTCCTTTATAGTACCAACAGCCACTGGGATCTTCAGAAAACACACATAGCAAAACACAAATAGAATAAGATTTCCCTACCTTAAATCTTTAGCTGACTCCCTATTTCCTAGACATAAAAAGAAAAAAAAAAGTTGCTAAACATGGCAAATAAGACCATCTGAACTCACGCCTGATCAGTATTTTAACTTCACCTCTTCTCCCTCACATTCTTTGCAGTCAGCCTATTAGTTCCCTAACCAGGCATGTTCTTTCCTGGAGTCATGTCTTTGCATTTGCGATGGCCTCTACCTGGAAGGAATTTATCCCTTTTCTGCCAATAGGAAGAATCTTATTGATCCTTCAGAACTCAGGTTGGGCAACACGACCTTCATGAAATTTTCCTTGGTGTACTCAGCCAAGCTGGCAATTTCCATTTTGATGTTCTTGAATCATCTTCTGGATATCAGAGGAACAAACAATATGTTGCTGTTTTTTGCAGAAAGGCCTCTTCACTCTACTAAGAGGTCTCTCAGAGCATCAGCCACATCTCACCTGTGTTCACATTGCCAGTGTGTGGCACAGAATGACTTAATGCATTGATAAGTTATCCTGATCCTCAGGGAGTCAGACAGTGTCCTACAATCCATAACTTGGCTCATAGTAGGAGCTGATTAAATTATAATTCTTTTACCTTTTTTTCTCCTTCTCATCTATAGAATATCCCACAAACTCTTTGGCATATATGGTCTCCTCAACCCACCTGCCCCTCGCTTTCACCTTCTTTCTCTGGTATTTGATCTGTCACTTCCTTGAGGCAGCCTCTATGACCTTCCCCATTACTAGATTAAGACCCCACTTATGCTCTTGTGTAGCACTTTGTACTATTTTCTTTTTCTTTTTTTATAATTAATAATTTTTTTAAGAAAGAATTTTGCTATAGGGTACTTATGCTTGCTGGAGAGACAGAGAGAGATAAAGAAAGATAAAGTGAGAAATCACCCCCTCCCCAAGAGGGGTGGCTACATCACAATCCCTTCTCCTCCATTCTCCTCTAAGGATTTTGGGCAAGCACGCACATGTACCTAGTGTGTTTTGAACCGCTGGGTCTGGGACTTGAATCGTGGTCAACTACATAGGAGTCCAGCACCTTAACCACTATGCCACTTGCTGGCCTCTGTACCTTTCTTTTACTACATTTTCACCAAGGTGACTATAGAGTTTAAAGAGCCTATATACATGTAGTCATCTGTTTAGTGTCTGTTGTAACTTCAGTGAAAACTCGAGAGAACAGGAACAATATTCATCTCACTTCCTAGGGCAGTGCCTAGCACATAGTAGGTATTGTTTAAACATTATTTTATCTATTATTATGTTTGTTTGTTTGTTTGTTTGTTTATTTATTTATTTATTGTAGAGCATGTGTGCTCACCAGAGAGAGAGGGGGGAGAAAGAAAGAGAAAGTAACTGGCAGATCAAGAACTTGAGCTGCAGTTGGCCGTATGGGAGTCTAGCACCTCAACCACCATACCACCTGCTGGTCCCCATAGTAGGTATTTAAACAGATGAGTGATCCAGGCTAATTGGAACCCACTATTGCTCTAGTATTAAAAATTGTCATTTCATATAAATATCCCATTCTTAGGAAAGACAAGAATAGGAGAGAGACTGATTAAATTAGTATGCATATACATAACAATTAAGTTAACATATACGTTTATATTGGCATGTATTCCTCTATAAGTACATGTTAATACATTATTAGGTTTTTCTGCATCTTGTGAACTCTCTTCTAAATAAAATACCAATGAGATGAATATCTTTTTATTATTACATATTGATATATCTATATAACAGAGAGAGAAAGAAATACAGAGACGAAGGGATACAAAGGTATGATAAAATCCAGAGTAGATTCAAAGGTTTGGGCCTGCCTACAATTTTCTAAGCAATATAGAAAAGTACAATACCTCTTTTTTTAAAAAAAATATTTATTTACTTCTTCTATTATAGTGAGAACAGAAAGAAGAGAGAGAGAGAAGTTCTCTCAGAGATAGATTCATACCATATACTCCACCCACAGTCTTGGGTAAGCAGTATGCTCAAGAGGCTCCTGGACTGCAATCCAAGACCTTTACCATGTGGGTTCAGTTGCATCACCACTGCACCACCATCTGGCCTCTAATACAAAAACAAAACAAAACAAAACAAAACAAAACCACACACACACACGTACACTCAAGACACACATTGAACTTCTCCCAAGCTTGGTGAGAACCTATGCAGGTATAACACACATTTAGAGAATTGTTATTTCTGTTCAGGGCCAGTCTAGCCTCACCAGGGCATATTGTTCATTCCCAGCGATTGCAAGGTGTTCAAATTTGGCAAATACAAATGTCATAAAGACTTCAAAAAGAAAGCATAATCTTGAAAGATCATGTAGACTAAAGTATTCCAGACAGCAGCTGGTAACAAGAGCTTACAGCGGGTAATTGATTTGAACATGAAAAACATAAAATTGAACCTGTCAAATATCAGTGAGAGCTATGGAATAAAACTATTGATGCGATGAAGAGAATTCTAAAGATCAAACGGGAATGTCAAGCTAAATTTATAATCAACACACTGAAGAAAAATAAAGAGCTACTGAAAGACCCAAGGCATCAAAGAAGCCAAACAAAACAGTGTCTTACCTGGGTCCATCTTACAGATTAAGGAAACCAAATGGAAGGGAAAAAATGGTACAGTAATTACAACAGGATGTGGACATGAAAGATGTTTCTTAAACATCTGTCTGCAATCCTTTCCACATGCACATTTGAGAATCTCTTTTGGAGACTTAAAAGTGCTAAATTATTAATTTAATTTTTACAAAAATTCACAAATGAAAGGTCATTAAGCATACATCCCTTCAATATTGCTATCTACAAAACATCAGATATTACAGATACTAGATATTGTATCTCAATGCTAGATCTTCACCAGTAGATGTTTACAAAAACCAAGTGTTCTATTTGTAACTGCACAAGTGAATTTTGGACATAAAACCATACCATTTGGATCATGGCACTAGGTAGCACTTATGTAATAACTAATGACAAAAGTGTGTAAGTAGTGATCTATAAAATTAATTTTATTCACTGTAAAATGTTTTCTGGCTGATTGTATTTATCCTTTGGGTAGATACCTAGGAGTGGAATTGCTGGATCATGTGGTAGATCCATCTGTAGGTCTTTGAGGAACCTCCATACTATTCTCCACAGTGGCTGTACTAATTTTTATTCCCACCACAGTGTAGGAGAGTTTCCTTTTTGCCACAGTCTTGACAGCACTTATCATTTTTTAAAGAGGTTTTTGCCTTAGTATTCCCTGAAGAGAGAGAGAGAGAGGGGCAGTGAGAGGGAAAGTGAGAAATCATCCCTCAGAAGGGAAGGTCATGCAGCAATCCCTTCTCTTCCTGGGATCTTGGATACACATGCACATGTGCCTGACGTGATTTTCAAACCACTGGGTTTGGGATTTGAACCATGGTTGGTCATGTGAAAGTCCAGTGACATAACCACTATGTCATCTACTGGCTCCTCATTTTTTATTTTTCAAATCTTAGCCATTTGGACTGGGGTTAGGTGATATTTCATTGTGGTTTTGATTTGCATTTGCATTTTCCTTATGATAAGAGATGTTGAGCATTTTTTCATATGCTTTTTGGCTGTTCGTATGTCTTCCTTAGAGAGTTGTCTGTTCAAATTATTTGTCTTTCTTTTAATAGGGTTGATCTTTTTTTTTCAGGTAAGCTACTTGAGTTCCCTCTAAATTCTGGTTATCAGTACCTTGTCTAAGACATAATTTGCAATTATATTCTCCCATTCCAAGGGTTGTCAATTTACTCTCAGTATTATTTCTTTTGCTGAGCAGAAGCTTTTTAACTTGATGTAACCTCATGTGCCTAATTTTGGGATTATTGTCTTTGCTTTAGGGATTTTATTTAAGAAGTCTTTGCCTTCTCCAATGTCTCCCAGAGTTCCTCCTGAGTTATCCACTCGTAGATTTATAGTTCAAGGTCTTAGGTTTAGATCTTTGAATTCATTTTGAGTTGACTTTTGTTAATGGTGAAAGATAGGAGTCTAGTTTCATCTTTCTGTAGTTGGATACCCTGTTTTTCCAGCACTATTTGCTAAAGAAATTGTCTTTTCCCTACTGGATTTACTGGTGCTCTTTTGTAAAAAAATCAGTTGGCTGTGTGTTTTGGGGTTTAATTCTGAGGTCTCTATTCTGTTACATTGGCCCATATGCCTGTTTCTGTGCCAATACCATGCTGTTTTGATCATCACTATAATTAATAAATATATAATTATTGTATATTTGTAATATATTTTGGAATCGGGAGTGAGATACCTTCTACTCCACTCTTCTTACACAGTATTACTTTGGTGATATGGGGTCTTTTATGATTCCAGATGAATTGTGTGATTGTTTTTTCTAGATATGTAAAGAATATCTTTGGTAATTTGATAGAGATTGCATTAAATTTGCAGAGTATTTTGGTTAGGATTGACATTTTGAATATATTAATTCTTCCCATTCAGGGACTTGGGCTGTCTTCCCACTTTTTTGTGTCATTTTCAATTTCTGTTTTTAGTTTGTTGTAATTTTCCTTGTAGAGATCTTTAACTTCTTTGGTTAGGTTTATTCCTAGATATCTTATTTCTTTTGTGGCTATTGTAAATGGAATTGCTTTCTTGAATTCTATACTTCAGTCTGTTCACTGTTAGTGTATAGAAATGATATAGAGTTTTGTATGT